TGTCACATGGCCCTCTTCCTATTGAAAAAACAAAAGTTGTATCCAAGATGGCCGACTTCTAAATGGCCACCATGGTCACCACCCATCTGAGGAGTTTGCCCCCTCACATATACTAATGTGCCACAAACAGGACTTTAATATCACCAACCATTCCCATTTTATTACGGTGTATCCACATAAATGGCCCACCCTGTATTTTGAGCTCTTTGTTTCAAGTTTCTTTTAATTCTTTATTCCGTTTGTTTGTGATTTTTTTTCTTAAGCTTTGTTTCTCTTCAATTTTAGTATTGTATTTTTCTTGGTATTATTACTTTTCCAGTGGTCTGTGTATAATTTTTTTGATTATTAGTCACCTTTCTCAATCACTATGTGTTTATACACCTTTCTGCGTTTAATCATTGGTTCTTATTAATACCTGTCGTTCTTCCACAGCATGTCCTGTGTCCTGTCTTCCTCCCTTACCCCAAGCGGTAGCCGCAGATGGCTGCCCGTCCGTGAACCTGGTTCTGCCAGAGGTTTCTTCCTGTTAGAGAGGAGTTTTTCCTTCCCACCCTTGCCAAAGCGCTTGTTTACAGGGGGTCATATGATTGTTGGGTTTTTATCTGTATGTATTATTGTAGGGTCTACCTTACAATATACAGACTGTTGTTGTGATTTGGTGCTGTATAAGTAAAATTGAATTGAATTGAATTGAATTGAATTGAATTGAAAATTAAAATGTAGACAACACAATAGTTTTTAATATTCTCTTTCGCTACATGTTCCCTACACAACAGATTCAAACTGAGTACATTAATTAGAATTACAATCGAGATTCATATATATTCATCTATTGTCATGTACTAACATTATTTTATTATTATATTACCTTTGAACAAAAACGGCATGTAGAATTGTCCTTCAAGGAGCTACTTTTTACTTTTTTACTGAGTACATGTCAGAGCTGGTACTTTTTCACTTTTACTTGAGTAAAAAACTTCAATACATCATGGGCTGGGTCTCTGACCGAGCATTTTGAGT